AAAAGAGAAAGATGGGGGGCAGAGAGGAGGGAAAGAGAGAGAGAGCGTAAGGAAGTCAGGGAGACAGATAAACAATTCGTACGTACACATTGACAGAAGCAGATATAAACGGAAAAGAAAATATCTTGGACTAAATCTCTCTTTCAGGGTCGTACGTGAAAGATCAACGCTCAGAGTCGATGCTGAAGAAAATATTACTACCATTAACATAATAACAATACTGTTAAACGACAATGATACGATGAATGACAGTGATAATACTGATGACAATGATATGGATAAAAATAAGGATAATGATATAGTTACTATCATTGTTATCATTATTGCTATCATTATCATTATAAGCCATCTTATGCCTATAACAATAATAATTGTAATAAAAAATAGTAATATCAACAATAATGATAATTATATTGAGGATATAATAGTAATAACGATATGTATGATTATAACGATAATTATAATAATAACAATAACAATAATAATGATCATGATATAATAGTAAAAATTATGAAAATAATTATAACAATAATAATGATAATAATAATAATAATGACCTCCAATTCACTCGCTAGGTGCGTTATCCACTTCCAAATAAACTCACTACAAGGTTCTGTCTTTATCCTCATCTACAAATATACTCACTAGATGGCTCTGCCTTTGTCCCCCTCTTCCAAATACACTTACTAAATGGTTCTGCCTCCCCCTTCCACCTCCTAATACACTCATACGGTTCTCTCCATTTTCCATCCCCAAATACACGGGCTAGATGGCTCTATATCTACCCTCCACTTCCAAATACGCTCACTAGATGGCTCTGTTTCACCCCCCCCACACACACACATCTATAAACACTCACTAGATGGCTCTGTCCCTCCTGCCCAGCTCCAAATATCCTCACTAGATGGCTCTGCCTCTCCCCTCCACTTACGTGTATATTCATTAGATCGCCTTCTCTTTTCCCTCCAGCTTCAAATACTCTCACTAGATGGCTCTGTCTCCCCCCCCCATTTCCAAATATATTCACTAGATGGCTCCCTCCCCCCTCTCCACCTCTAAACATATACTCACTGGATGTCTCTGTTTTTGTCCACTCACTTGTTTCCAAATGTACTCAATAGATGGCTCTGTCTATCCCCTCCACCTTCAAATGTATTCACTAGATGGCGTTGTCTCTCCCCTCCATCTCCAAACTTACTCACTAGATGCTCTGTCATTCCCCTCCACTTCCAAATTTACTCACCAGACGTCTCTATCTCTGTCCCTCCATTTCTGCTTTCAAATACACTCACTAGATGGCTCTGTCTCTCCCTTCTACCTCCAAACATACTCACTAGATGGCTCTGTCATTCCCCTCCACCTCCTTTTCCCTCCACTTCCAAATACACTCACTAGATGGCCTCACTCCACTTCCCAATACTCACTAGATGGCTCTGTCTTTACTCTCTACCCCCAAACGAATCTCCCCTTTGACCTCCAAATTAGTTTTATCTCCAAACCTGCCTACGAAATGGCTCTATCCTCCTACTCAATCTTTAAACATACTCACTAGATGGTTCTATCTCTCCCATCCGTCACATGGCCGTTGGAGTGTCCTACAAGGTCGTACGAGGATTTCCTGAGCGTGAGGCGGCTGATCCAGCTGCTGAGGACTCCCCGCTTCCGCTCTTGCTGCCGCTTCTCTACCACCCGCGAGGTCTGCTTCTGCTGCTGCTCCTTCGGGTCGTCTGTTAACCCGTTACTGGTACGAAGGGGGAAGTAGGATGCATGCTATATATATATATATATATACGTAAATAGACTGATATAGATATAAGTCATTTGTGAGTATACACTATATATGAATAGATAGACTGAAAAATATAGATCGACATAAACACATTAACGTGTGTGTTAGCATAAGTGTGTGTTTCTGTTTATATATACACACATATACATATATAATATATATATATAATATATATATATATATATATATATATATATTATATAATATATATATATACATATATATACATATATGTATACACACACACACACACACACACACACACACACACACACACACACACATATATATATATATATATATATATATATATATATATATTATATATATATATATATATAATATATATATATATATGTATATAGTATATATATATATATATATATATATATATATACTATATATATATATATATATATATATATATAATATATATATATATATATATATATATATATATATATATATATTATATATATATATATATATGTATATACGTATGTAGTAGGTAGGTATGCATGCATGTATGTATCTTGTGCATGCTGAATGATGAATACTAAATGAAAAAAAAAGAGTTCACAGCAATTACAAAACGACGAATGACTTTCTTACATCTTAAAATCGTTGTAGTGCTCCCGGAAGGTCCACCTGCGGGCAAAGAAGACAAACTGGTGAGTACTTGCCAAGATCCTTTGGTGCCACGATGTACCGAGAGAACCGGTGTGCCACTTGGGTCATCTGGCACCATCGATCTCGTCGCTCAGGTGTCACAGGATCAGAAACTCTGTTAATCATATACAAACAAAGTTTCTGCGTGCTATCTGCAGTTACACTTTTTAGTTCTTCAAGCTATTGTGCTGATGACTCCTGAATTTAATTGTTGTATAGATATGATTAATGATCCCAAGAACATTGAGGCATTTGTGAATTTTAGATATAATGGGTCTGAGGCTGACATATCACTTTTTAGAAGCAGCATAATGCAACATATGCAGTCTGTTTAGCCCACGGATGCACGGGATCGTAAACGCATACGCAGGCAAGACAGACACTCATACGAACTGAACCACATGACTCACTAAAAGAAGTGTGCAACTAGGATCTGTCTAGCTTCCACAGGGTCGCGTGGCTCAGTTGATATGAGCGACTATCTTGCAGTTACCTGCCTGCAATGACACGGGTTCGAATCCTGGTTGGGTAGGCTATGCTATTTATTCATCATATCACTGCGGTAGCACATTATTAAATCTTTCATAAACATGTGTGTATATATACATTTACACACACACACACACACACACACACACACACACACACACACACACACACACACACACACACACACACACACACACACACACACACACATTTTTTGGGAAGATAAATTGCATCGGATATTCATATGAACAATTGAGTAAGAGCATCTTTTAAAAATCCTTTCCGACCCTGTTCAAGAAGCTGTTTCCACATGCTTGCAGCTGACCTCACTGCAAGCATGAAGGAAGGCATTAGCTGGGAAGGGCGCGACCACTCCACTTTTTTTCCTCGCACATACGAGAGATGATTACAAAAATGTTTTTTTATTGTGCAAAAACTCATAATTTTTGGAAGATATGACATGAACGGGCAAGCGCAGGTCATGCCTTCTCAGAACAAAGCAAGGTCAGTCCAATCTTATCTTCACGGGTCAAGATCCGCGACTTGTTCAAGAGAGCCCCGCCGGCTTTTCACTTCCTGATTTTGACCATTTCCTCTTCTGACTCTAACCACTTTTACTCATACCCGGTAAGACTATACGGATAGCCACTATAAACCGTATAAAAAGGAGAATCGAAAGAGGCGAAGGTCCCCTGAATGGAAATGGATGAACAGACCAAAACTAGAACTTACTTCTGCTGCTCCGCGTCTGGCATCATGTCTTCGTACAGGTCCTTCACGAAATCCTTTTAAACCAGAAAAGATAAGTATTAGCATCGAAAGAGTCATTCCTTAGTATCAGTATAGTCACCCCTTGCAGTCAGTACGCGGAAGGAAAAATAAATATATAGATATTTAGAGGACCTGCCCTTCAGATGCTGAATATGCAAGTGTTTAAAATGCAAGCGTTCTGGTGTGTTCATTTTGCTATAAAGTTATTTCTACGCGTAAGTAGAATAAGAAATAGGTTTATAAACATATTCTCAACATACTAAAATTAAAAGGACATTTTTTTTCACTGACATTTACTGTTTTTCGTTCCAACAATTGCCTCGGAAACCACGAGGTCATTTCCCAGTGAATGGCATTTCATTTCCTTCTCATGTTACTGGATCTGGGATTTGCCACACGAGTAATTGCTCGAGAAACCTACCTGAGCCTGCAGAGGAGGGTCGCCATTGCCCGCCGTCGGGGCCACCACCAGCAGGAAGCGCTCGTCCTTGAGGGCGCTCGCCTCGTACTCCTTCATGTTGCGGACCTGGAGACGGGGGGAGAGGGGGGGGGGGGATGAAGAGGACTCAGGGATGATGTTTCCGTTCAGTCGCCTGTTTTTGTCTCGCTCTCTGTCTTTCTCTTTTTCTCTCTCATCTCTCTCCTCCCTTCTTCTCTCTTTCTCTCTCTCTCATCTCTCTCTCACTCTTTTCTCTCTCTCTCTTCCTCTCTCCTCTCTCCATCTATCTCTCCTTTCCTCTCTCCTCTCTCTCTCTCTCTCTCTCTCTCTCTCTCTCTCTCTCTCTCTCTCCTCTCTCTCTCTCTATCTCTCTATCTCTATCTATCTATCTATCTATCTATCTTTCCTCTTTCCCTCTTTCTCCTCCTTTCCTCCCCACTCTCTTACCCCTCCCTCCCTCCCAGCCCCCCCCCACCTCAACGCCGTTCCTCACCTGAACACTGAAGTTCTTCCTGAACACGTCAGCGAGTTCGTGCGCGAACGCCTGAGACTTCCCTGTTTCCGTGGCGTAGAGGATGGTCGCGCGGACCCTCCTGCTCAGCGCCCGCGTGTACAGGACGCTGCTGAACCACACTGCCCTGCACGAAGACAGTTTGGCTCGGTTTTCTCGGTTCTCAAAGTCTGGTAATATGTATGAATTCATGTCATATATATCATCTGTATCAATATTTTCATATATATTGTCGCCATTAGCTTTTCCTATTGTTATTGTGTTTTAAGCAGCTATTCGCTGCAATTCCTCTCTCGTCCCACTCACAAGGCGACCATCCTGAAGGTCAGCCGCTGCCTGCCCCCTCCGGGCTCGCCGTCTTCGCCGCTCAGCATCCGGTTCTGTTTGTGGAAGGCCACCCAGGCCAGCTCCTGGTACTCGTAGGCGGGCTTCAGGTAGTACAGGGACATCTCCTGGTGGAAGACGGGCGTGAGGGAGCCCGAGATGGGCGGCACGATCCACACCCAGTCGGCAGGGCACCCGCCTCGCTCCCGGTGCTCGTTGGCGAAGAACTGCATGAAGGACTCGGACACGGTGTGGTGGTCGACCAGCGTCACCTTCGCTTGCTGAGGGGGGGGGGGCGGGGTCAGTGGGCGGCAAGGCGGTTCAGGAAGAGAATCTCATCAGCAGGAGAGAGAGAGAGAGCAGAGCGGAGAAAGAGAGGCCACACTTCCCACGCACCTGGTACGAATGCAGCACCGCAATGTTGACCTCGAGCGCAGCCTGGTCCTTCCACAGCGTGACGGGCGTGCGAGTGTCCAGCCCGAGTTTGTCTCCCACCTCCTGAGAAAGAGGAAGAGGATTATAACAAAATGAAAGAGATACCTGAAGAGGGACAAGTAGATAAGCATCTCCCCAGGGCAGTTAGATCTAAAGCTCAAACAGAAAAGGTTTGGATCATTGCTTCTGCTCGGTATTCAAATCAGAGCAGTTCAGCGGAAAAAAACGCGCTGCATAAGATCCATCTCCGAAGAAGCAGCCGAGAGCGAGGAGCCAGCAAGACGCCCCGCTTCACGCCGTCAGCTTCTCCTGGAAAGAAGCTCAGAGCCCGACGGACGAGCGCGCAGCCCCACCTTGATGATGTTGTAGCGCTGGGCGTCGCAGAGGTCCCTGCTGGCGATCTCGGACGACAGGTACCAGCCGTTGAAGGGCGCGGCGGTGAACTCGACGCCGCCGCAGTCCAGCATCATGCCCGACACGGCAGGCAGCGCGAACCATTCCAGCCCGAGCGCCCCGAACCAGTCGTACCTGGGGGGGAGGGGGTGGTCAAGTTGTGGCTCGGCCGTTGGGCTGCGAGGTTGAAGCGAAAGGGTGTTTTACTTGAGTAAGTCATAGGCGAACGGCAAATATACATGCATGTGCGTGTGTGTGGAGAGAGAGAGATCCATAGACATGCATGGGTGATACTGAGGCGACCTACTTCGGGTGTTCCAGGGCGACCCGCAGAACGAGGTCGTCGGGGATGTCGAACCACTGGGGCTCCTCGGTGGGCGTCGACACACGACCAGGGAGCACGTCGAACCGCCCGCCTCCGCCCTGCCAGCCCAGCTCCTGGCACACCTGGTGGGCGTGCGGGGAATAGCGTCAAGGATAGTCTTGTGGTCATAAGGTATTGACATACAATCGCTTAGGGTACGGAAGGAGAGGAACGCAGGTACGTGGTTTTCCGTCCAACGAGTGAGAAAAATAAGTATCGAAAAATAAAAATAATAATGATAAATAAATAAATAAGCAAAACAATAACAGCAGCTTATAATGGCTCGAACAAGGGGAACGATAATAACTACAACCATAACAACAAAACAGGTTATGATAATAACAGAACAGAACGGTCTCCCGAAGGCCCGACCTGCGTGAACTCGGCCCACGCGGGGTCGCCGGTCACGCTCCCGTCGTCGGCGCGGTAGCCGGCGTAGGCGATCAGCTGCGGGTTCCACACGCGGAAGTCGCGGCGGCCGGACTGGCGCTGCGGGAACACCGTCAGCGTCGACCTGCGGGAGGGAGAGAGGAATGAGGAGAAGGGGGGAGGGAGAGAGGAATGAGGAGAAGGAGGGAGGGAGAGAGAGACGGAGAAGGGGTAAGAGGCAGAGACAGAGATGTAAACGAGGGAGGTGGAAGTAGTAAGTGAGGGACAGAAGCAAGGGCGGCAAGAGGAAGGAGACAGTGTAAGAAAGAGAGAGTATAAGAGAGAGGAAAGCGAATAGCAATCCCCTAAGGCTTTGGGACCAGGTTGAGGAAAAGGGAAGGTCAGTTCATTAGAAAGTCTGACTGAAAAACATTAGTTGTGGTTGTTACTGGCGCTGGAGGCGATCTAGACAGCGTCGCAGAGACCAGAAAATGGCTTGTGATGGCAATGGGAGGAAATGAAAGCAGACAGTCATAGCTTTATAAAGAAATCGTGACATGAGCCGTATCGAAGGCTTCTCTTTATGTGGGAAACCACAAACATAAATAGTTTCCTTTTGTCCGTTTTTGTCCTTTTGAGAAAATGATGCGTGGGTTATTGCCGGTTTATGCGAGCATTGCACTTGAGGGATAACTATCAGATAAATTAATAAAGGCAAGGATGAACAAAAACAAAGTACATGTATACATGTCTGTGTGTGTTTGTGTGTGCGTGAGTTTGTTATGTGTGTGAGTTTGTTTGTGTGTGTGTTTCTTTGTGTGTGATTTGTGTGTATATGTGTGTGTTTGTGTTTGTTTGTGTGTGTGAGTTTGTGTGTGTGTGTTAGTTTATTTGAGTGCATATGTGAGTGTTTGTGTGTGTTTATGTACGTGTGTGTAATGTGTAGT